GATTGAGGCTACTGAAAAAGGTTGCTTGTCTTAACGACTTCTGAAACCCGATAACCAAAGTCAGCTTTAAAAAAAACCTGCTTTCAGCTACAACAATTCTCAGTATTGTGTGTACCCCCAGGATGTTGGTGTCCCATTGTGTCTCCTCCAGAAAATTCTAGCCTCTGCTAACATTAAAGCACAGGAGAAAGGGAACCAACAAACAAGCCCCTCTGGGGCTGAGCAGCTGCGCAACCCATTTCTTCCATGCCCTTGTGAAACCACCCACCAGGCAAGGCCGCCCTGCCCTACCTGTGTTTTCTGTTCACAAAGGAAGGGGTCTCCCGTGGGACCCCATTGCAGTAAAAGAGCTGCAAGGCACTTCTCCCGCTCAGGAGCTGGCAGGACGTGGTGGGCTTCCCAACCGGCTGCACGGCCCTCTTTGTCCTGTGTCGCTCTGTGTGCCCCAGCCCTGCAGACAAACCTCTGCCACGTTGGAAGAAACCCAGGAAGCCATGGCTGGTCCCCTCTCAGCTTGCTACCAGGCTCTCAGCTGGAATAGCTGGAGCTGTCTGATGCTATTTACATCACAAAAAGAAGGGCAACAATAGGAGGGAAATTTTATGTTAAGTGAGAAAAGTAGTGCTGATTAATGTTCAGTCACATCAGGCTTGGCGTGTACAGCTAATGAGCACCGCAGAGAACGGCCCCTGGGGGGCTCATTGTGTGCGAGGCAAGACGCAGCACGCCGCAGGGTTGGGGCTGGGGGGCACGCTGCGAAGGGTCTGCCCGGGCAGCTCCCCCACAGCACCGAGCACGGGTGCGGGCTCAGGCACGGTGGGGTTTTCAAATACCTTCAGCCGACCTATATACACACACCCTTTAGTTGCCCTCCCTGCACGGTATATACCCTACAACGCACCCTACTTCTTAGTTTATTTGTGTAACAGTGTTGATGTGCTCCTTTAGTGGTACACTGCTTCCTCTGCCCCTCGCCAGGCTGGAGGGTGCTCCCCCATATCCAGTGTGTCCCAGCACAGTGCTATTCCTCCTCCTCACCCCGCTGCTCTTCCATGTATGTCTCCACACCACAAGAAATGCCTCGTCTTCACTCCCACCATCCTTTCCCCTGCGGTGGAAGTGACAGGATGACGGAGTGGTGTCAGCGGGCTGGCAGGGAGCTGCACGGTGGAGTGAGAAGAACAGAGCAGCAGGTGCAGAGTGCTGTGGAGCAGGGAGAAGGAGCGAGGCTGAATGGGGGTAGAGCAGGAGGCAAGGATGTGGAACAAAAAAAGGAAGAAGGAAGGACTTACAGTGTCACAAGCTGCCGAGAAAGAAGTCTTAGTCCAGAATTTGTCCCCAGCCTAAAGGATGGACACAACACAGGTGTTGCAGAGGCTAATATGTGGACCTAGAGCAGAACTGATGTTGGTTGCTCTGCTACCTATTAAGAAGCCCTTCATCACCAAAGAGCATCCTTTGAAAACATAGGCTTAAATGACTGACACAAAGATGTCGTGAAGGTCTGAAAATCATGACAGTTCTGTATTACTCAGTGACTAGAGCAGATAGAAAAAAAACAAAAAAAAAAAAAACAAAAAAAAAAACAACAAAAAACCAACAACAGCAACAAAAAAAAAAACCAACCAAACCAAAAAACGTGATAAAAGGACAGTAAAATTTTGCTTTTACCTATCTAAGGAAACACCATCAGTTATTTGCAACCACTTATTATGTCATTTATTTGAGTTTATCAAAACATACAAAATGTTTTCTTGAAAAATGCCCTTCTCTGTCAAAAATATTTATGAAATAATTTTATAATTTTTCACTTCTGATTTAACTACAGAGGAGTCTCTTGCACTGATGCCGTTGGCCCTATGGGAGGATGATCTTGTTTGTAGCATTATATATTCGTCATTGTTAGATTTGTGAGGGCCATATTCTGTTCTTGATCTACATCTGCCTATTCTTCATTCTTACTCACAGAGAATGCACATGGAAGCAATATTTGGCAGACAGAACATGCTGTACAGTACAACAGAAGGGAACCAGTTCACAATGTATATAAGCAGAACCTTAAGTCCATGTTTAGATGAACTTAGCCAGTACACATAAAGGTCACTGCAGTTTTTCTAGTTTTCATTTCTATGCTGACTTTTATTATTGGACTATGTTACAGACTGAAGGGGATTTTGTGCTCAAGCACAACCTTCTTTAAGAGATTTTCACAATGTACAATGTTTATCTGCTGTCTGGAAGGGGCTATTTGACCTTCTAATCATCATTTTCAATAAAAACAATGGAATACTAGCTATTGCCTTTTCACTCTTGTGTATTCTCTTAAGTATAAACTCCACCTTAACTTGCTGGAGGTTAATATCTTGGATAAGAATCAAAATATGATTATTGGACATTGTGTTTTCAAGAGACTTTCATAAAGCCAGTAACATTTTATAAGGAAGTTTCTTATGGAAATATATGACTGCAATTTTTTTATGTAGGATCTCCAAGTAAACCTCAACCATCAAAATATTTGTCCTGCTTACTTTACATAAATCGATAAAATTCTAAGTATACAGAGAAGCGGCCAAAATGATAGATTTTGCTTTACAGAAGTGTCTGTGACTTGCTCGAATTCCACATAATGGGATAGGGGAAGCAGAAAGGAATCCTTGCTGCTTAATTCAGTTTTCATATTTTGCCCCTAATATGCATCAGGAGATTCACTGATTTTATGGAATTATGTGGATTATTAAAAATCAGGATTCATGGGTAATTAAGATACAGAAGTGTTCATGCAAGTGAAATATCAGCTCTAAACCACATCCATATTTATGTCAACACTTCTGGGTTTGATCCTGCCACATTTTCATAAAAATTTTGTAGAACATAAGATTTCAAACATGGGTTTCAGAAGAAGTTTTGTTTTTTCAGAAACACAAATTGAAGCCTGGCTTTGTCAAGTCAAGACAGATATCCATTCTCAATGCACTTATTTACTTTTCATTACACTAATAGGAATTCCACTCAAGCAACCAGGAGGAAAAAGTTCCTGAAGAGCTTTAGGATGGGGGAGGGAGGATGCAGATTGCCTTTTTTTCCATGTTTGCTCTGGACTTCACAGCAGCACAGAGATGAACTGGGCCCTAAGGCAATGCAAATAAAGTTTACTCTCCTGATTCTTCTAAGTCTTCTTGCAGCCTGCCTTGGGAAGAGCCATAAACTGGCTCATCCTTCTTACAGAAACGGATGTTTGGGATCACAGCTGTTAGGAGGCACCCTTCCCTCCAGAGTTTGCACATCTCAGCAAGGTGATCTCATGGTGAACAGGCCAAAGCAAAGTGTCTGGACAGACTGATCAGAAGTTAGCTCATCTCTGTAGAGAGGAAAAGAGAACGATGTCCGTAAGGATATGTACCTTAAGTATCTCTTTACAGGGAGAAATGTAATGTAGCTATTAAAAAAAAATTTTTTTTCAGTACTGTTGACATTACCAGTGGTATGTTTTTCTGAGGAAAAAAAAATGAGTACATGTTTCTTCTCCCGTATTCCTTACAACCTGGAGCAGAACAATCTCAGAACTGTGTCACAGATTTTTATCATGACACTTTCTGCCACAGATTTAATGAGCTGAAACCACAGATCAGGGAAGAGACAGGAGGAGGTGGGCAGGATGGACAGATGTTTTGCCCTTGCTCTCCTCATCTCTTCATGGGTTGAAGCCCTGAATAAGGGTGGTCAGTGCAGGCGGGTGGTTTGTTTTTTTTTTTTTTTTAAATTAGTGTGTGGTATTTTTTCCTTGTGTGGGAAGATTGGAAACATTTCACTTGACTTACTATTTAGATGTGCTGTGGCATGTCTGCATGAATGCTGAAACGGAATGGCTAACTTCATGCCTTTAAAGACCCACAGTAAAAAACCACACTGAATGGGTTACCAATATAACCTGGTCAAAACCGGTACCATATGATCAGAGTTCCTTATTTTTTAAAGCCAACTTGCTGACACCAGTCTTCATATTTGATCTAAAGCCACATTTTTTGCTGCTGTATAAAGTCATAACTTGGTGTTGAAGAGGGTTCAGTGTGAACAAGCAAGCTACGAGGCTGGGGTTCAGCAATGCAGGGGAACAAGCCACCACGTGAAACGCAGAAATTCACTCAACAGTTATGATCCAATATAACTGTTAAGCAGGTATTCTTTATGCACAGCGCTGGGCAGCACTGGGGATCACTCCACCACAAATGTTCCAACGGGCCAGAAGAATCACAGATAATATATGCTGTGAGATTATACGTATCCAGTGAACCTCTTAGAATTAATCTACATACACATGTTTTCCTAGAATTTATCTACATAGTCTGAGCATGTGTGGTAAAATTAGGGTCAGGGTCTTTTCCCGCTCTGGTAGTCATTCATAGTCTTCCTCACAGTGTTCGATGATTGAACTTTGGTCTTCCTTTGTCCGTATTTGGTCATGTAATTAGCTCATCTGTTTTTCAGCCCTGTGATGCTCCAAGGTCAGTTTTTAATTAATTTGCAGGTACCCCTGATTTCAGGGGGTACTCAGGAAGCTTAACGAACCATCTCAAGGCCTCCTGAAATTTTCTGAGAACAGTTGCACATTTCCAAACACCTTGTTACATTTTTAACTAAGCTATGCGAGTGAAAGGAAGAAAGTAACAACACAAGTGAAACATGCTAACCAGCTAGGATTCTACTGAAAACAAGTTCTCTATTCTTAGCGAGGGGAGTAAGTCGGGCCTTCTCTCAGCGTTTCGCGAGTGGAAGGGCGGTGCTTCAGGGCGGGCAGCGCCTCCCCACAAGGGAACCAATGCCTCCGGGCGGCCTTCTCCCCGCAGCGACGCCGGCCGCGGCCGCGGCAGCACCGGCGGGCACCGGGGGCGGGCAGGACACCCTCCGGGGGGCGCCAGCGGCCCGCAAGCGCGCACGGCCCCGCCGCCTCCGCCCTCCCCGAGGCGCGGCCGGGGCCGCTCGGGCGCCGCCATGTGAGGGCAGCAGCGTCGTGCTTCCCGGGCCGGCGCGTACTGCGCACAAGATGGCGGCTCCCATGGAGTTGAGGTGCTGGGGAGGCGATTGGGGGCTGCCGTCCCTGCACCCGGAGTCTCTAACCGTCATGGTAATGGCCGCCCGCCGCCGCCCGGCCCCGGAGGGAGGGAGGGAGGGAGGGACGGACGGACGGGCGGTCGGCGCCCCGGGGCTTGCCTGCCGCCGGCGCGGCTGTCCGCGGGGCTCTTCCCCACCGGGACAGGCGGCACCGCCGGCGAGAGGCGCGCCCGCCCTCGGCGCCCTGAGGCCGGGCGGGCCTGTGCCGGGGCACCCGCGCTCGGCAGGGGGTGGGAGGAGGCGGCGGCGGCTGGCGGGGCGGTGCGACCCCCGGGTCTTTCCCTGCAGGGATCCGCCTCGCCGCGGAGCCCGCGTCCCGCCCCCGGGGGGCCACGGGCAGGGCTGCCCCCCGCCCTCGGGGCGCCGTGCCCGCCGCGGGATGCTTGGCCTCGGCCTTAGCGGGCGGCATCTCCTAGAAACGCAGCAGGGCGCTGAAGGTGGTTGAAATAACTTTTAAAGTGCTATGACTTTTCTAACACATAGTGACTGGATTTTTTTTTTTTTTTTTTTCCCCCCAATCCTTATTGCAGGCTTATGCTAGATTTTCTGGTGCTCCTCTAACAGTGAATACTTTAAATAACTCTTGGAGAGCTCCAAAAGGTACCATCTTGGTGTTTTTTGCCCTTTTAACTATAGCCACGTTATAAATGCAGGTTCTAATTTCTACATTGTTTCTGAGTTTGCTTTGGTTTTGTGTACATGAGTGTAACCTGCCCTGGTGAAGGCTATTTGCTTTCACAATACACTGATAAATTACTTTACAGGATCAAGTGTGATGAATTTGTGGGAATAAAATAATGGAAGACATAAATAAAGTGCCTCATAGGATACTTTTTAAAAAACGTGTATGAATGAAACAGCAGACAGTCAACAAAGGAGTGGTGCCAAGTACATACCGGTTTCTGTCAGGCAGTCTAAATTGATGGTGTAGTGAAAGCAAATTTTTAAGTGTTCTGCACTTTGCATATTTATAATGATAGTAACTAGACCTGTGTATGGAAATAGTGTTCTTTAATTATACATAATTTAGTGGGCTGGTACAGTTGGAAATGGAATGTGAGCCTCAAAGAGTGTAACTTGCACAAACTTGGATGTTTAGAGAAGTTGGGGATGAGGTATCAGAGAGGACTTCTTCATGTTGGATAGTTCTTGCTTATCTGTTTGCTCAGCATTTAAGTTATTGTCTTGGTATATTCCAGGGAGGCAAAATCACTGCAGGGTTAAAGTTCTCCATCATTTACACTTACCACATCATCAGTTTAGGCATTACTGTTTCCATGCAGAAATTGCACCTTTGACTCTTGCTTTTCAGTGTGGTATTTTCTGTTAGTAGAAAATATTAAGAGCTAGCTGGGTGTACTTGCCAAAAGTTCAGTGGCTTTCTTCATAACCAAGATATGTAAAATCCATTAAAAATAACCCAAATAGTAAATGTTGCTGCTAATTGATACTTTAATAGTATTTAGCAGCACAGTCATATTGGGCTCTTTGTGACAGCTATTTTGTGAACATGCTATAAGACAGCCCCTGCTGCAGGGATGTTACACTCTATAGTTTTTGATCCTGCAATCTGATGAGTAAAGGCTGACCAGTAAGCTTCTGGCAGAAGGGAGATACTTGGTTCTGGAATAGTTTATGATTATGTAGTGGTAGCTTGGGCAGTGGTTGTAGGAAGGCTAGAGGAAACAGGTGGTTAAAATGGATTTGGAGGGGAAGGGCAGAGAAAAATTGGAGTAGAAGGAAGGAGAGGCCCAGAGGTTAATGAGTTGATAGAGCAATTGGACTGGATTGCAGTTTTTGTCTTAAGATGAACATCTGAAATCCAGGCAAGTAGCCTGGTGCTCGAAGTATCGAGTATATAGCAGAAGACATTGGCTTCAGTCTGATTTGATGTGGGCCCTTTTTTTTTGTATTGCTACTAGTGGAAGCCACAGTACACTAAAAGTATTTGTGACCTTGGTGGAACTCCCCTGCTGTGTAAAGCTTAGTTTATGCATAAGTGTTAGGAAGATCAAAGCATGCTATGGAGAAAAGGAAACTAGGTGTAGTGACTGAATGCTTTCTAGTTATGTTAGAATTCATCCATATGAATGGTTGACTGTATTATTTATGCCTTCTAGGAAATGTACCAGCCCTGGTAACAGAAGACACTGTTATTTCTCATCCAGCAAAAATACTGAACTTCTTAAGAAAGCAGGTAGGTCTCCTTCAAAAGATTTGTTTTCTCTGCCTTGTGGTGACTCTGCATGTCCCCTGTATACACAGATACAGGCTTTCAAAAACCTGGAACTCGGTTCAGACCCAGCGCTTTCCTGTTTTTCATTCATGCGTGAGAATTGCAGAATAGTGGATAACAGATTGCTGTTTGATTGTTTTGTGACAGATTTAAAAATAGGCACAAGAAAACTGTTCATTGAAAAGAAAAACAAACTGGCCTTAATTGAGCAGTTTCTCACTGAGCACCCTGCTCTTAATTGTAACACTTTTAATGTCATTATGGCTTTGCAGACCTAGGATATCACAGTCTGGGAAATGTCGTTTTAACTGCTTAAATAGGTAATCATCTTCCAGTGCTCTTTTTGTGAAGGATAATACATATAGTGTTGATTTTAATCAATATAGTTTTTTCTAGAGCTTATAGAGTAAAAATGCCTGCAAGCATTTCTTGATGCACATCATGTTATTGCAGTCAATTCTTGCTTGACTTTTGCAGACCTCTTAATGTTTTATTCACAAAGAATAAAGCTACACGATTTCTTCTTTTCACAAAGTGTAAAGATGTCTAGTAAAGCATGGCATAATCTTTTTTATTTCTAAGATGGTCCTCCAGCCCACTATTGTGCTTTCACATCAGAAATTCAGTTCTTGCCTAGTCAAGAAGGTTATCTGATGAATGCCATGTTAATGGAACTGAATCTTTTTGTGGGGAAAAAAACAGAATCAGGAAACTGCCCATTCAAAATGGAATTTTAGACAGTTGTTTTAAAATTCAGAAGTTTCATAGCCATTTGAATACCAAAGATTCCTCAACGCTGGGAGAAAAAAAAAAAAAAACAACCTGTTGGCGATAAAGTATAACAATAGTATGCTTGCTTTTCAGATATCTAAGGGTCAGCACTGACCCTTTGTTTCTAAATGAATGAAGCAAATCTCCCCCCCAAAAATCTTATTAACCCTTTTAATGTACCTTAAAAAGATCCAGTGTCAGAATTAAAAGCTCAGTCAGCTGTAACTGCATTAATTTAGCTCTGCATTTGGTCCCTCGTATTGTTAACATCCAATTTCTAAACTTTAGAATGGTAATTAAAAGCAAAAGATGGGAATACTTGCCTTTTCTTCTGCTTACACCAGCTTAAGTGCCAGATGCTTCTTCAAAAATAAAGATGGGGACTTGCCAGTGTGTTGCTATATCTCTAAGTGCTAAAAATTGCCTCTGTATCACTGGACAGTTGCTTGGAGAGCAATGGGAAGGAGATGCAAGAGTTATTTTGTGAATAGAGGGTCCAAAAATTTAAGAATGGGAAAGCGGAAAAGGGAGATGCCGGGAGGTTTGACATAGCTGGCCTGAAGAAGTAAAGAAATTCTAATGAGCATGTACTTTCTGTCCCCAAAAATGTTAAATTTACTGACTTGATAGTTCAGTTTGAAGCAACTCGAGGTTGCATTGATCATCTTTTTGGAAAGTTCTGTGTAACACTGTTTGTAGTATGTATTTTTTTTTTTTTTCTTAATTTTGTAGAAATATAATGCTGATTATGAATTGTCTGCAAGACAAGGAGCTGATACACTTGCATATGTTGCACTACTTGAAGAAAAAGTGCTTCCTGCTCTGGTAAATATTGAGAAATACTTTATAATGGTCAGAATTTTTGAAAGTGAATGTTACAATAGGCGCCCAACATGAGAGACATTAACGTCTCTCAGCCATAATCTTGGCTGGAATGTATTTACTTTGTTAGCCCAATTTTGGAAGTACTGCCTAGCAACTTTTGAAAAGGAAAGAAGTGTGTTTGTGGGGTGTGAAGTAAAAATAATGAATTTATGAAAGACATTTTAAAAGGGCACCTATGAATGTTTTTCTTTTAGATGCATTTTGGGGAACAGTAACCCAAAACCAGCTTATTCTTGCCATTTTTTGTTTCATTTGATTCTTTTGAAAAAGCTTTGCATAAGATGAGGTATGTCTGATGTGGGGTGCACAACTGTGGAAACCTTTTGAACTGTTTGGTTAGAACTTTTGAGAAATTAAAATACCCATCAATAGTTTCATTTTGCAGTTTTAAATAACACATGACCAAATGCCCTCACCAATTTAGTGTACGTACATTAGAGCTGTGAAAATCGCCAGACATTGGATCTCATGAATGGCTTTGGCTTCAGTTTGTGCAGGAAAAAATACTCTGACTGGATGATATCATAGGCTAGCCTCATCAGCTGACCTGCAAGGTTTCAAATTAATCATTTAGTAATATATTTTCTTATATGATTTATATAAAATGTCATTTAAAAATTCTAGAAAGTTCAAACCACATCCTGTACATCTGCAACTTTTTTTGTACTGTATTTTCTATTTGCAGTGTGTGTGTATGAGTGTGTGTGTGTGTGTATATATATACACACATACATAAACATGCACATGTATATAGGTCTGTGTAATATCCCTGTTGTTTTTCTTTAGGTGGAGGGTAGCTGTTGCCTTAATTACATACTCCTACACTCAAAGGATTAGTATAATCCTTCATGGAGCCTGATTGACTTAAATGACAATGATTCCTGGTGCTTCTGCTTCTCAGACAGAGATCTTGCATATCAAACTTCTAAGTGATGTTTACTATTCTTACTCAAATTCCAGTCATATTTTTCCATCTGTTGATACAGCTGCACACTTTCTGGGTTGAGGCTGAAAATTACTGCAGTGTGACAAAGCCATGGTTTGCCTCAAGGTTTGCCTTCCCAGTGAGTTTGTATCTACCTGGAAAGATGTCCAGGGAAGCACTGAACAGGATCTTGGTGACCAGGGGCGGGCCTCCTCTCTACAGTCTCACTGAAGTGGAAGCACAGGTATGCAGTGTGTAGTAAAGAATTTGTAAGTTGATGCTGCCAGAGACAAGAACTGAAACAGTTTAGCACACTGTCAAGTGATGAACAATGCTGTGCATACTAGCCTTGCTACACCTAGGGCTCTTAGACAGTCTTGTGTCTCATCAGATATACAGGGATGCCAAGGAGTGCCTAAATCTCCTGTCGAAGAGATTGGGAACATCTCAGTTTTTCTTTGGAGATACGTGAGTGTGATTTTTTTTTTTTTTTTTTTTTTTTTTTTTAAATGACTAGTGAAACAAGTACCACATGACATTGTGAACACTTGTTTTTTTTATTTTTTTTAACCTGACAGGATGGTAGAAATGCTGCACAGTCATTTCATGTCTCACACTCTGCTTTTCAGATAAATCTGAATGAGCAAACAGGACACAAACGAAATCTTTGGACTAAGACAATGCAGTGTTTCCCTTGTCCTGCATTTTTCCACAGACGGGCAGATGCTGCGCACAGCTGCTAAGAAAATGTGGGATGCTTGATGAGTTAGTGTAGCACTACAGAATGCTTTTCTAGCCACTGAATGTCACCTTCTGTGCTTGTATGTAGAAAAAATGCTTTAAGCCTGAGGTGTTGCCAATGCCTACATGGGAGGATGCATCCAGGAACACACCCCTTCCTGTGGGACATGTATAGAGCAGGAAGCAGATGTGGCCAACATAGTGCCTTCTGGTTCTAAAAAGGGTGATCTGTCCCTTTAGCTGTTGAAGTTGGACCTCTTAAAGAAAGAGGATCCTGGGCCCCTGGCATACAGCTTGACTTTTGTGGTGCCAAGAATATGTTTGAGTGACTTGTTTATCAGTGTACATGACAGCATGACTGAATTTTAATGCTGAAGTTACTATTTCAGCTTGCCAGCATGTCGCTAGTTCAGAGGTGCTGGAGTCAGTAGATAGTCTGTACAAAGCATTTACCAGATTGATATGAAAAGATAAAATGCCTGAAGAGCTGACTGTTCTGTCCTAAATTGTGTTTGACAAAAATGGTTATGTTGTAGTGGTCTCAATGTCTTACCTCAGTCACTCTGGTTTTTTGTTTTGTCACTATCTTCAGGCCTACCACCTTGGATGCCTATGTGTTTGGTTTCCTTGCACCAATTTATAAAGTATGCTTCCCCAGAGTACAATTACAAGAGCATTTGAAACAGCTTCCCAATCTATGTCGATTCTGTGATGATATTTTAACTTGCTACTTCAGGTTGACTGTTTCAGGTAAGCTGTGTTTCTTTCCCTTTTGTCATGTATAGTCTTGTTTGGATGAGGACTCCGGGATTCCATCTGTGAACCAAGACAGAATTAGATTTTATGTAGCTTATGAGAGAGCTTCTGTGGGGAGATGAGGTAGAGAAACTTCCAAAGTTGTGCAGAAAGGGTTAAAAATTGGAAACAAGGGTTAATACTCAGGTTTAGACTCTGTCAAGCATTGGCATGCATGTGTATCTATGCTATGAGTCATGCTTAGCACTTCTGTTTTTCTCACATGGAATGGCTTTTCCACTTACATTCTTCCTAGGATAAAATACTGCATGAACTTTCTCTCCAATGTGGTTTTATTTTTTAATGATTTGAAAGCTTTTGTAAATACCTTTTCACTCTTCACCTTTCTACCTTTACTCTCCAGGCCATTCTCCAGCTGGACAGGATACAGCAGATGCTAATCTGCAGAAACTCACACAGCTTGTAAATAAGGAATCCAACTTGATTGAAAAGGTTACTTTTGCTTCAGTCTCTAATTTTCCTGATTTGCCGTGGCTACTTGTTCAGATACTCTTGCGTTGCAACTGTACAATGGACATTTTATTTTAATTGCTTCTTCTCTAGTGAGTTACTTTGTGTAGACAGGCAAGAAGAATATTAATGTCATTTGAAGGGAATAATTAATGAAGCCTTGTACTTAAAAAGTATTATTACAGTCAAAAGAACTTTGGCTTGCAACTGTGCATACCAACAAAGGAAGGGTGTCTTTCCACATATGTACCTTCCAGCAAAGGAGGAGGCAAATGTATTGATCAAAACTCAGAAATGGTCCCACAAGATCAATTGCCAGTTCTCCTTGCTCTGAACTGAATGCTGAAGTTACTAACCTACAGTCACTCTTTCTATTGCTTGTTCTAAATCTAGCTTTTATTTCTTTGTTTCTAAAGCTGTCACTCAACACCTGTCAAAAGCTATACAACTTAAGTGAAAAATATTTGTGAAGAATTAGTCTTCTCATGCAGACAGAACACTTTATAAGGATACAAGGCATTTCTTCCTGAAAAAGATCAGTGTATGAAATAGATCATTAACTATGATCAGCTTCTGTAGCATTAGGTATTGATTGCATCTCTTCTTTGTGGTAGTGAACTGTGGCTGTGGAAGCTTTAAAGACTGGGTTACATAGTAACATATTTACATAGTAACATATGTTACATATATTCAGAGATTAATTGTAACCTGACTTTGAAAAGGCCTTATTATGAAGTTCTTTATTAAATACTTTCGAAATCTGTAACTAATCTAAATTCACTGAGTGCTTCCAGAACGTTTCTAGTTTGAAAAAGATTGATTTCTGGAAGGTGCTGAACATCCAAAAGCATCCACTGCTGTTAGTAGTTTGACTTTTGATCTGCTTTCTAGCAGCATTTGGCTATTGTACAAAACTGAAACTTTGACCTCTTAAAAGAAGGTGGCAGTGTTGCTTTCTTCAGTAATCTCAATGAAATAATTCGAGCAGAAGCACACCTGTTTGCCCTGGGTTTGATGCAACATATGCTAATAGAACGAATAGCAGCTTTAACACAAGCACAAATTTGTAATTGGAAAGGAACCAAGGCATCAATTTTGGCTGGGCCTGAAATAACAAGGTAAAAAATAACCCAAACCAGCATTAATGATGGCAGCCTTGACAAATAGACTAATCATATAATGTATGTTCTACTGTTTGCCAGATCGGGCTCTCATTATTTCTCTGCAGATGGATGACAACCTTCGTAAGAGTCCTCAGCATCCCCCTCGAAAGCTAACAACGCTCAAGCTTGCTGCAGGTGGAGAAGAAACTAGTCCGTTGAATCGTTTGTCACCTTGACATCTTTTGTTGCCCATACACATGTGTTTGCCTTCAACTTTTCTGAGCACCACAGTAAATTTTTTCACAAGAATGTTGTTTTGCAAGGGAAGAATCTTATAAAAAGTACAAGTAGGGAAGAAATACATTTTCACTATCTACCTGTTCTTTTAATAAATTGCATAGTTCAGGCTGACCACACACTAAACTGAGGCTAAAGTAAGCAAGAGCCTTATTCCTGCAGATGTTAAAAGTGATTTTGTACAGCATATTTTTGCCTTTAGCCTAGCAGCAATGTTGTCCAAAAGTTAAAATTCAACTTACGGAATGCTCACCATTATTTTATTTTGTGGCTTTTGATTTTACTGTAATCATGTTACTGTATGTGTGTGGGTATACTCTTGTTTTGTCTGAAAATTACACAGTCCAGTTGCAGAAACAGTGAAAAGACTGGGAAGAAAATGAAACACTGCCCCTCATGGCAGCTGAGAAATGAAAAGCAATGAAAGGAAGTTAAAAGATTTGGACTTTCATGAACACTCACGTCTTGTGTTTTAAGGTGGCTTGTATTTTTGAAAACTTGTCATGTTGTACTTTGGGGAGGGATTGTTGAGAAGTGTGGGTGCTATGGGGAGTGCAATGATGTACCATACTAACATTTCACAGGTACCTGGTACTAGTCCTGTGTGAAACGGGCTTAACCTGTGCACAGTGATACCATGTGCTGCAGAACTGTTAAGTCAAAATCACAGAGAACTGGTAGTGAGATGGGGAGGTTTGATTAGTTCTTGTGAGGACAGGAGACTTGACTAGAAAACATAATTCAGTTCTGGATTCATAGGAACTGGTTAGGGCTTTATAAGAAGGCTGATGTTGGCTTTTAAGTTGGTTGCAGATGCCTTTGGATTAATTTTGTCTTATTTTTTTGCAAGCACTGCAGTTAATTAAAAAACTAAAATAAAAAATGTCCAAATTTCTATTGTTTGAAACTCTAGTTCAGAGTTATATCTCTGCAGACTAATACATTACAGTGTGTATTTCTTCTGTTTAATTAAGGGACTTGTATCTCATTAGATTTTCTCTTAGCAGCATCCTTGCCAGTTCTAGAGACCCAAACAATTCCGTTACAAGAGAAATGCTCTAATTCTCTGCTGGCAGATGCTTCATGAGTAGGTGTCAAGGAGACTGGCCAAAATGGGAGCGCTTGGGATACAGAATTCCAGTAGCTGTTTATATGGGATGACTGTTCTGTTTTTTTCTTTTTCTGGCCAAATCAAGATAGTTTTTCAGCTTCTCTTTAGCTACTGGTTCTATGAGATACATAGATAAATTATTTCCTGTTCATAAATACAAGACTTGTAGATTGTGTACATACTGTACTTTCAGACTCGTAAGGAATGTAATATCTTTAACATTTCTTAATTGAAATGTTGGGTTTCTAATAAGCACTTTAAAATAATGTTTAAGCTTCATAATTTTACTAGATCATTTGTTTCAGTGATTTTAAATTAATCTAGTTCATACTTATGATAGTTGTACAAACCGTCTGTCCACTACATTTAAAATTTTTACTGCCTGTATCTTGACAAGGTTTAAATGAGATCAAGTCACATGGCTTTTCAGAGTCTTTGATTTTTAATCGTGGCTATGGAGAATATGCCTTAGTTTGTCACTGTTGCGAATATGTACACTCAGTCTTCAAAATCTTTGTAACAAGGTCATTGTTCCAAAATTAAAATTTCAGATTTTTAGTGGAGTTTTGGTAGTATTCTTTATGGAAGTTATTTTTTTCTTGTTTTCTTTTTTCTTGTGAAAAGCTTTACCTTGTCTGTAAAAAAACAACAAAAAAAATAAAAACCGCTGACTGCTAGGACAAGAAATTGGAATAATTTAGCATATCCATGAGGTCAGATTTTAAGTTTTAATCACAGCTCTTCAGTACCAATCCTTTCTTTCAACACAGCTGCTTTTGGGAAGGGGGGGAATGGGGAAGCACAGGTCTTCTAATCTTAATAAATGTGAGCCTTGGGCTATTGGACAGCAAAATTGTGACAAACCAGTGCCCAAGTAACCATTCACTGGCTGGCAGAGGACAAGGGGGCTAGAGATGACAGCAGACATTGCTTGCAGTCCTGCACACCATCACAGACAATCAGTGAGGTTGCACAGACATGCACTTTCTTTTCTTTATTTTTTATCCAAGGTGAATTCAAAAACAGACTCCTTTATGTGGAAAGTGTCATCTCTGGCCTGACAACTCAGACTTGTCCGTTAGTTTACTGGCATGTTTTGTGTGTCTGAGTTCTGAGGCTGGGCAGTTAATGATGTCCAGGCTGGGATCAGTTTGAGTAACTGTAGCTGTCTGCATCTGAAGTGGTCAAAGCTCTTTCACTGGGTAGAGGAGAAAGATGGGATCTAGGTATGATTGATCTCCTTTAAAGTAGATACCTAAAATAGTGAATTGAGTCCTGAAAACGTGCATGTCTGCTGAATGTAAAGGAAGCCTTAGCTACCTACCTCAGCTATAGAGCAAAAACCTGCCACAGTGACTGGCCTTGCTTCCACTGCCTGAGGTGGCCGGTGGTTGCAAACACAAGGGCTTGGCCCTTCTGGCCCAGCAGCAGCAGTGGGACCACAAAACCACTGCGTGCAGCCTGCTTCCTCTGCAGAGCAGCTGGCCGTTGGACCTGCTGCAGCTTGTCAGTCTCAAAATACCGGGCTTTTTGTGCAAGTGCGGGATATGCCCCTGGGTTTTTGTTGTCCTGCTGCTACCAGAGCAGCTGGTGGGACTCCTCCTCCCTGCCCTTACCCTGGGAGGTGGTGGCTGGGAACAGGTTATTACCTCTAGAGCAACTCATCCAGCCTGCCACGCTTCCCTGCCATGCAGGAGGCTGCCAGCTGTAAATAGGGTGAACCATCCCAGCAGGCTGCAAACTTAACGCCCCTGCTCCCAGGTGATCTTGTGCTGAAAGCGTGTGTGTAGATATCTTTAGGGCTATTCTGTGTCTTTCTGTCAGCTGGTTGTAGGAACTTGTATTTCTGGAAGAAGTAAGATGAAAAATATTATGAATTAATTGCTACAAATATGGTCTATTTAACATTTCCAAGATAGCTTTAAAAATGTCTTTTCCCCCTTCTGAAAATACTGTTACATTAGGTTGTTATATACACTTGCACATTGGTGAAGTCACATCACTTTTGCTAATGTAGCTTAGCACATAATTAAGAAAAACACCCTATTGTATTTGATTCCTGGTTAAAATGGTTTCCAGACTCACTCGAGTACGTTTCCTCTCTTCCTTGCTATTCTTGGCATTGCAGTAGGAACCATTCATAGTGCTTCTGTTTTTTTCATACAGAAAGGCAGACCAGCTTTTTGTGTCGGCCTGACAAACTATGCTGTAGCTCAAATCTGGCTGGTCTGTGCTGCTGGCAACAAATTGTCTAATCCCTAATGTACTTAAAGACCACATTGACTAACAAGACACTGCAGAAAAAACCCCCGTACTGTTTCACTAATCATTTTAGTCTGTTGTTTGTGGTTAGCCTGATTCAACAAAATGCTCTGTAATCCTGCTTGATGCTAATTAGTGCCAGTGAGATGATGGGTTTTGATGCGTTTGCTAGGGTGCTGATGCAGGATGGGGCTGTTCAGCCCAGCAGGTGGTATTACAGAGCCCTGCCGAGGGTAGAACTGGTCAAATACCAAAGCATGCAGCCAGAGCTTGCCACTCAGCATCCAGCCGCTGTCCTCATTCAGCCCTAACTGTGCCAGTGGAAAAGCCACTGCTCCACCGGGCTGCTCCAGGCTTTCTAGCCATCATGGATGCTGTAGCCCATGTTGCCGGGAGCTGCCGCGTATGTGCCGGCTGAGCTGCAGCTTTAAGCAGCTTCAGATCATTAAGCATTTTGCCCCTGAGACAGGTGAGGGGCAGTGTTGCCTGCAGAGCTTGGGAGCGCTAGTCCCTGCTGCAGAAGGTGAGAAGTGGCTGAGCACAGGCGGGTTTCTGGGTGAGAAGCCAGTGCCCTGGCCCAGCCATTGCCAGGCATATGCCTATGTGACGTCTGCTGTGCAGGCCTCTCAGCAGCGCTGCTGCTCTGCATCTGTGTGAGACCCAGCCATGCAGGGATGATGATGGCATGGGGGTCCTGGTGTGGGGAGCAGGGCAGAAGCCAAACTCTGCTATACTGATCTTCTCCTTGTACTAGGAGACCTGCCCAACAACGGGGAGGGCTGTGGGTGCCCGGTTCTGGAAGCAGAGCTCTGTACCAGAGGTAGCTGCCGGGAAGGGAGGTGAGTTTCTGCACCGCCTCAGGGATATGTTAAAGCAAAGAAGGGAGGAAGGAGGTCCACTATTCCCAGTACCACACTGGTTTGCTGTTTCTGCAATAAGCTAAAGCTCCTAGGAAAAGATCCCAGGTCCCAAGTGAAATCAGATCAGGTTGGCATGAGAAGCTGAGAAGGTGAAAGAAAAGGTTAGCAAGGGAAAGACATTAGGTGCATCTGCTTTCACCCTCACTGTCCTGTTGTCTGAGAGATTTATCAGTGTCACAGTACTCAGGGTTGCGAAAGACTCTTTCACTAGCTACGACATACTGCTTTTGTGGCCAAAAGGTGTGGGGAATCCAATTACTTGCTGCAGGTTTTGAAAAATAAAGAAATTACTTGTAATGTGCTAGGCCAGTCTGCCTCAGTGCAGGACTGAGTGAGCAAGGTTTACTGAGTTTCATTAAAAGCTAAGATGAGACCAGGAATCAATAATGGGACAACTTTAGTTCCACAGCAAGTAAGATGTTGCAGTAAATCAGCCCATGGCACAAGGCTGCTCCTCTGCACTGTTCAGTTCCCTTTTGCACATTCCCTTATTAAAACCACATGCAGGTTTTTTTCATCATGAATGTCAGTGTTCCAAATTTTTACAATGTTGAAGTGTTGCATGTGGTGATTTACTGTTATCAAAATACAGAATGTTCCTGGTCCTTCAGTTAAACCAAGAGTGCAGAGAAATTGCATGCCTTGGGTATCAAGTGGGCTCATTAAGTAGGAGCAGTCCCTGTGTAAGCATCCGGTGCTCAGATCAAATTTGCCGAGCCATTTTGACAAGGGTGGCTAGGCAGCCTGCCAATTCACACAAACACCTCACGGTTTTTGTTTCCAAGAGCACAGAGGTCAGAGAGGGAGAGTGCACACAAGGAAGAGCAAGTCTCTGCAAAGCTATGACTTATCCAAAGCAACCTTCAAGTGATGGACGTGGGAGTCTGGCTTCACTTGTATTGTCGTTTATTGCGGTGAATGATCATTTGTCAGTTGCTGCCAGCTGATTTACTGTTGGCACAACAGCAATTGTGCACATGGTAATAATGGTCATGTTGGGAGCTGTCCTTCACTATTTGAGGAATAGGCTGTGGTCCTTTCTGTGCTGCAAACAGCATCGCCATGTCTGCCCTCTCACCTTTGATGCATCACTCTCCATTGACTTCCACATAGCTTCTATCTCCTACCTATGTTCTTACAGGGTTTTGGCATTTGCAATTACTGCTTGTTTAGGTAATTATCTCAAACAAATGTGGCTGATTTTCTTTTCTCTGTTAAAAGGCAAGACCAATATTTGGTTAAACCGGGCTGCATAAATTCAGATCAGGATTTCCCAGCAAGTCTTGCTCTTCGTTGTGGCCATGGTGAGAGGCATCTCTAGAAATTCCTCCAGTAGCATGTTCCGCTGCTCAGCAGCATGAATGGGGAAGAGGAAGGGCTGCAGCACCTCTATGGACAGTGACACATGTTCTACTGAAGCTCTTGCTGTTGGAAAATGCAAATTTCTGAAACCTGTATGTTCTACAAAAAAATTTACTGTTTTGGACAGGAAAGATTGATTGCTCATACCCAGATAGGAATTTGAGAGGGGGGGAAGAGAACTGATGGATAAGGAACAGGCACAATTTTGCCTGGAATAGCTGATACTCTGTGATTATGTGGGAAGGAATTTCATTTCTCTGCTCTGAATTAAGGAAAGTGAGAACTCCTTTTGGCTGCTCCACAGCTCTAGGCAAGTGTCTGAGCCAGTGGATTAGTAGCTTTTCTGCAGGAAAATAATACCTTATTTTTCACAAAAATCCTTGACAGGCCCTATTTCCTAAGTGCAGGATATGAAAACCTCAGAAATCCCCCTGACTTTCATAGGGTAAGAAAGCAGATTCCCATCTGTTCTGTCTGCTTTCTTAGCAGCTCACAAGGATTAATATGTTTATCTGGTCTCCTTATTTTAGCTGAGCCAGGTAGCTGTCTTCACAGAGGGAAGACTAAGTGTTGAAATGGTGTTGGCAATCAGCGGCACCCAGTGTAGAGAACATAGCAACGGAGTGACGTGCTCAGGACTGAAGCAGGCAGGATGCTTACTTTTTTTTCCTAAAGAATATTTTGTGGGAGGCATGGTACCAGCTAGATACCACCTCCAGCAATGGCCAGGCATTGAGACCAGTCTTCAAGGGCTCTGTGCTGTCTGCAGCCCTGTCCAGTAGACATCAAATGCCACCAAAGAATCCAGGGAGAACAAGGTCAGCTGGGATTACAGTCCCCCAGTGAAAGACTGTGGGAAGAGTAAAGCATTACACACATTCCTCCTAATATTACCAGCTCAGCTTTCTCTCCAGCCAGCCTTAGGTCACACACAGGTATGCTTAGGTCAGTTTGGTGTAAAAGGCCCCTGACTTATGCTGGCATGTCCTGACATGGTCACTGTGACAGTTTGCTCTCCT